GACACAAGACCATTCGTGACTCGTTTTGGAATAATGGCATTGTGTTGCATGTCGTCGATCATGAGACGCTGCCTTGGGCGCGCGATCGCCGCGTTGGCGAGCGAATAAAACGACGGCGGAGAGCTTCGGCGGATGTAATGAACAACATAAACAACAACCTGAAGCTGTAGCGCAAATGGGCAACGAATAATCAGCATCTTATCTTGGCTGCTTCAGGGCAAACCTTTGGAAACAGCCGCCCGGGTAGCGTTCCTGCCTGGGTTCCTGAGCACGTCGCGGCCCAGCCGCCGGCGCGCCACGGCCCCTTCTTTCAGCATCTCGAACCTCTGAAGAGGCGATTCATAAAATGGCTTGCACATTTGGTTGCGAGAGAAGGGATTCAGGCCCCGCCGCTCTCTGAGTGGTGGCCCTTACTTTGGGCGACAGAAATTGACCAGCATGCGCGTCCCTTGTCTTGTCTAGCTCTGGCTGCCTTCGAATGGCCAGAGGCATCTGACTCGCACGTCGAACCCATTGAAGGTTGGATCGAATGGGAACACAGCACGCAAGCGACGAACACTTTTGCGCCAACTCTTCGGACATTGCGCGACGCAGAAACGGGAGCAGCACCCTGGCTGCCCGTTACCCAGGGCACCGCTATGGACGCCACAGGGCCCAGCCCTCGTGGACGTCCACTGGTTGCTTGGGCACCTAATTTTGTAGCACGTCCTCCTCGTGCTTCCCAGTCCGTCAGTAGGCGCAACAAAATGCGTTCTAAACACCCTCTCACTTCGGTGACACCTGCCGCCGGTCAAACCGCGACGGCAGGTCATGAGAGAAACGTAGATATGACCCTTGATTTCACCGCTGTCTGCGGGTCCAATACCCAGCAGGTGCTCGACGGGAGGATCGATTTCGATCAGGCCAACGGACTAGTGCACTCTCGTCGCGATGACAGATCGTTGAGCATCACGTTAACCAAGAACGGAGCCATTTATGTGGCGGCTCAATATGTCATGGAGCACACCAGCTATCGCCCGGACACAAACGAGACTGAAAGGTTACAACTGACGGAAGTAACGCATTATGTTCCGGAAGACGTGCGGCAGACCACTGAATGGAACTGGGAGATTCTTGTTCAAGACCTTGAGTTGGGTCTCCGCATCATTCGCGTGATTGTGATTATTCGTGAGTTCATTAATTGTTTCATTGCTGAGGGATATTATATTGCGCACCCGTCTGCGATCTTTCTTGCTCGCGGCACAGACGTAGAGTACGCTGATGACAAGCGTCTGACGGATTCATATGCGCTTGATTGCCGCATTCGCGCGGCGATCGAGACATATGACCTCATTGAGGAATGGGCCCATGACTTGGGCAGACAGGGTCGCGCCGATATCCGTCGCCAGGGCATGAAGCTGCAAGGAGCTATCCACTGGTTATATCCATACGTAGAAGCAACTGAACTTCAAGACAAAGATGAAGGCCCCTTTCGCAGCGCCCGCGGCAAATGTGGCACTTTTGCTGCTACCGCCGCAAGGGGTGTTATCAGACATGCTAGAAAGCAACGAGTGACGAGCGTTCGTGAAAGGAGGGGCGCTGATGGGCCCTCCGACGGCCAAGCCGTCACGGAAGGGATCCCTTTGGCGCGAGCGAGGCCCAGCCCAGTTGTTCGCCCCGATCCGCCCCCTCCTCCTCGTAGACCCGACGTCCAAGACGATCGGGCCAACGATGGCGCCACTGAGTCTCCATGCTCTGCCGGCGGTCAAACCGGCGCGGCAGGAGAAGACTACTCGCGGTATTCATCCGACAGGGACACATGGGATTGGTCTAGGCCCGCGCGCGCGCAGCGGGGATATGGCTGCCGGGCGCGCGGCTGGCGGCTGCAGCCCCAGCGTCCACTACCCGTGCTACAGGGGCGACGAGTTGCAGGGATATTGGATCCATCAGACCGCAATTCGCTGGATGTCCCGTGATGACAACGAGCGTCGGACGTGGCATTTTGCGTTTTCCGATGACTACGAGCACTACTTTCGGAGATCGCAAGGCAAGGGGTACTCCAAGAGCAAAAACAAGAACAAGGACAAGCACGATAGGCCAGCTCCCTACGCTGGCCGTGGCAAGGGAGGCAGGTCAGCCTCGCCCTATTGGGCTGCTGACCAGACGGGAGGTTCGTCGTCTTCGCATCCGAGACCACCGTCTCCGCCTTCGGGGCGATATCTCTAGCGCACGAGGTGGGAGCAGGCAAGGCCCGGGCGACAAAGTCGCCGCGGGCGAGACCGAGCGACAAAGTCGTTTTGGCAGAGAGTTTGTATTTAACTATTGGTGGGATTCGTCGGGTTTCTCCGGCCCTCAGCCCCCTGGCAACCACCGCTGAGCGGTAAAATGCTTTTGGGTTTCGCTCCGGTGGCTGTATATATGCACAGGCCAGGCGGGTTGTGGCTGGTTAGACTCTAAAAAACCCGCCGCGGGGGGGTGGTAAATATGCTCCTCTCCGCCTCATTCTGCACTTGCCTCTTCTGCTGCCTGCCTTGTCCTACCTTGATATTGACATGCAGCTGTTTGCTGCTCGAGCGAGAAAAGGAGCGCGCCAGCCTTCGGCCTCCGCCCGTCGTCGGTCGTCGGCCGGCTGGACCTCCTCCCTTTCTATACTTGAGAGGAGTTGCTTAACGGATAGCTTCATCGATGTCTCATCCCGTATCCTCTACTACTGAGCAGAGTCAACATGAGACCTTAATTCCTTTGGCATATTACCCCGATTCTCAGAGGAAAGACTCGACTTGCTCGCCCGTTAAGGTTCGCATTCCGTCCGGCGCGCCCGTCAAGGTTATGCGCGCGTGTTTTTTTGAACATTCGTTATACTTCAATGTCACGCCCGCCCGATCCGACCCGCCCGTTAGTCTCCGTTCGTCCGAACCGATTCGCCCATTAGCGTTGCGCGTGCTGATTACTTCGAGCACGCGACGTACTTAATGATCCGCCCGCCGTTAAGGTCCGCATCCGATCCGACTCGCCCGTCGGGGTCACGTCTGCGTGTTTTTTTTGAGCACGCGTCATACTTTAATATTTCGCACGCCCGACCCGACCTGCCCATTAGTCTCCGCCCGCCCGACCCGATCCGCCCGTCAAGGTTACGCGTGCGTGTTTAATTCGAGCTCGCGTCATACTTTAGTGTCCCGCCTGCCCTGCACGCTCGCCCGTTAAGGTCCGCATCCGATCCGACCTGCCAGTCTGGGTTGCGCGTGCGTGTTTTTTTTTTCGGGCATGGGTCAAACTTTACTGTTCGCGACGCCCGACCCGACTCGCCCGTTCGGGTACGCCTGCCCGATCCGATCCGGCACCCTAGCGGATGTCCCGAGCGGCGGCGCTCGAGTTGCGAGCATGTTTCGAGCGGCAAGCGCTCTCGAGCTATTCAACCGATTCGGGCTTTCGGGACTTTTCTGACTTTTCGGTTTTTCTGGTTTTTCTGGCGTTTCTGGTTTTTCGGGCTTTGCCGGGCTTTTCGGGCTTTTCTGGTGACCCGGGCGCCCATTCGGGCTGTTTGGGCTGCTCGGGCTACTGAGTTGCGAGGATGTCTCGAGCGGCGACTTTCGAGATGCGAGGATGTTTCGGCATTTCGGGCTTTTCGGGTCAACCCGGGACTTTTTCTGGTTTTTCTGGTTTTTCTGGCTTTTCTGGTGACTCGGGCGCCCATTCGGGTTGTTTGGGCTACTCGGGCTACCCTGGCCAGAGCTGCGAGGATGTCTCGAGCGGCGACCTTCGAGTTGCGAGGATGTTTCGGCATTTCTGGCTTTTCGGGCTTTCGCGGGATTTGTTTTGGCTTTTCGGGCTTTTCTGGCTTTTGTGGCTTTTCGGGTCAACCCAGTTAGGGACACCCCTGGCCGACGCAGTGATAGGAATGTCCTTCCAACAAAACCTTCTTCTGGAACATTTTGGAAGGTTTGAGCAAGGTTCTTCCAAAAAAACCGCCCTCCCGATGAAGGTTTTTTGAAGGTTCGAGGAAGGTTCTTCTTTGAGCTCTCCCGAGGATGGTTTCTGGAAGGTTTTAGGAAGGTTTTTCCAGCGAGACCTTTCAGAGTAAGTTGTTTGTGCTGTTTTTAAGCAGGTGCTCCCAACTAGCCCTCCCGAGGAAGGTTTTTGGAAGATTATGCAAAACACCTCCCCGGTAAGATTTTTGTTTGGGCGGGTTCTTTTTAGATGCCAGAGTTTTTGAAAGGTTCTTCAAATGAGTCCTCTTGAGTAATGTTTTTGGCAGGTTTTGGTGAGGTTCTTCCAACAAGCCTTACAGGGGGAGGTTTTTGGAAGGTTTTGAGAAGGTGCCTCCAAAACATATTCCTGAAGAAGTTTTTTTTGCAGGTTTTAGGGAGATTCTTCCAACGAGCCCTCCTCGGGAAGGTTTTTTGAAGGTTTTAGGGAGCTTCTTCCAGAAAACCCTCCTAACGAAGGTTTTCGGAAGGTTTTAGGAAGGTTATTCCGAGATGCCCTCCCATGGGAGGTTATCTTTGTTGGAAAGGTTTGAGGAGGGTTCTTCGAAACAACCTCATTGAAGAAGGTTATTTGAAGGTTTAGATCAAACTGTATTGGGGGGGGGTCATGGACAGATGAATGTGGCATGAATGTTCGCTGATTGATTCTGAGGCCTGTTTATATGCCGTCCTGGCGAGGCCAACCGTGGACCCTGATACGCCTTGGGCAGTTCCAGAGGTGGCTTCGCCAAGGAGATCGCATGCTTCGGTCCTAGGCCCACGACCGATTCGGCCAGATTCATGTATTTCATGTGGACAGCCGGCGCCCCCTGACACGTGGCGTCGTCGTCGTTCATCGTTCGTCATTCTCGTCGTCGTCGTCGTCGTGCTGCTCCTCCGCTCTCCCCCCCCCCTCTCCTCTTCCACCGTCCTCCTCCTATCCTTTCCTCCTCCCCCACCTGCCTCCGCCTGCCTGCTGCCCCCTTTCCCCTCCTCCCTCTTCCTCCTCCTCAGTGGTTTCGTGTTCGTGCCCCCCCGTGTGATGCGAGCTGGCAGGTGCTTTTCGTAACGGTGCTGTTCCAGAACCTTTGCGACTCCAAGAACGCCGCTCCACCTCCGTAGTGCGGAATGAAAAGGAGGAGGCGAATGGCGACGATGATGATGATGATGGTGATTATGACGATGACGATGACGATGACGATGGCGACGATGATGATGAGGATGATGATGCTGACGCTGATGCTGATGATGACGGTGATGATGATGATGATGATGATGATGATGATGATGATGATGATGATGATGATGATGATGATGATGATGATGATGATGATGACGATGATGCGGATGCTGATGGTGATGCTGACGCTGATGATGATGATCATGATACTGATTGCTGTTGGTGATGGTGATGGTGATTGTGATGTGATGTGATGCGATGTGATGTGATGTGATGCGATGTCATATTATGTGATGTGATGTGATGCGATGATTAATGATGGTGGTGGGGGCGAGCGACGTGGCCTTACCTGAAGGTGTGCCGAACTACAACATGATCGACCCACAAAACCGGAAAGGGATACAAAAATTTGAAGCATGGCAACATTTGACACCTGATTGGGAAACGGGCAAATGCAATGTTGAGTGTATCGATAGTGATCTACCGTGCCAAGGGCTGTGGTGCTGTGCTGTGCCATGCTGAACTGCGATGTGCGATGTCGCGATTGAGCTCTATAGCGTTGTGGATCGAATCCTCCTTAGCATTCGTACTTACCGAACTGATATGGATCTTAAGCTCGAGCTGCCTGAGCACATAATAGCCGCCCCAGAGCTAGTTGAAGTGAAAACGTGGAGGACGTTCAATCAACTCGACCTCAAAATCCGAATCAGCTCCGACAAGGAACGACACGACACGGGGCACAGGCTCACGGACGCGCCACTGGATGTGCCAGGGGCGCAAAAGGGATGTGCCAGGGGACGTGTCAGGGGACGCATCAGGGGACGTGCCCTGGACGTGCCAGGGATGTGCCACGGGACGTGCCAAAGCGCTTGCCATGGAGCGGCCAGAGGACGTCATGCCAGGGGACCATGCAAGAGGCCCGCCACGGAACGGGCAGGGGAACCGCCTGGGGACGAGCGAGGAACCGCGACAGAGGACGAGCCAGGGAACGTGCCACGCCGAGAGGCGTGTTAGGGGACGTACTAGGGCACGTCACGCCTGAACGTTGCAAAGGACGCACCAGGGGGGGCGCCAGGGCGCCTGGGGACGCCCCACGGACGGGTGGGGTTGGACTGCGACGCGCCCTGATGCGACCAGCGTTTCGCTCGAGAGGGCGACCTGGGCACGTGAAACCAAGCATCTCGCTCGAGACGTTCTCAACACCTCCTCATGCTAGACATCTGCCTGAGCGACCTGGACACGTGAAAATACGCGTTTCGCTCGAGACATCTTGCCCACATCCTGATGTTAGACATCCGCCTGGGCGACCGGGACACGTGAAAACAAGCGCTTCGCTCAACACATCCTCAACACATCTTCATGCTAGACATCCGCTGGGGCGACCTGGACACGTGAAAACAAGTGTGTCGCTCTCTCTCTCTCTCGAGACATCATCAGCACATCCTCGTGTTAGACATCCGTCTGGGCGACCTGGACACGTGAAAGCAAGCGTCTCGCTCGAAACATCCTCAACACATCTTCACGTTAGACATCCGCCTGGGCCACCTGGGTACGTGAATGCAAGAGTCTCTCTCTCTCTCTCGATACATCCTCAGCAAATCCTCATGTTAGACATCCGCCTGGGCGACCGGGACACGTGAAAACAAGCGTTTCGCTCAACACATCCTCAACACATCTTCATGCTAGACATCCGCCTGGGCGACCTGGACACGTGAAAACAAGTGTCTCTCTCTCTCTCTCTCACGTGAAAGCAAGCGTCTCGCTCCAGACATCCTCAACACATCTTCACGTTAGACATCCGCCTGGGCGACCTGGACATGTGAAACCAAGCGTTTCGCTCAACACATCCTCAACACATCTTCATGCTAGACGTTCGTCTGGGCGACCTGGACACGCGAAAACAAGCGTCTCCTCTCGAGACGTCCTCAACAAATCCTGATGCTAGACATCTTCCTGGGCGACCTGGACACGTGAAAGCAAGCGTCTCGCTCGATACATCCTCAACACATCCTGATGCTAGACATCTGCCTGGGCAACCTGCAGGGCTGAAACCAAGCGTCTCGCTCGAGACATCCTCAAGACCTGGGCGCATGAAAACAAGCATTTCACCTGAGGCATCCTCTGAACTCTGGTCACCAGGGGAGGAACGATCTATAGCACAAAGCAAACTTGTCGCTCGAGACATCCTCAACACATTATGCAAAACAAGCGTTTCGCTCGAGACATCCGCAACAAACGAACATGCTTATATAATATACTGGGCGTCCGGGTCCCCGGGCCCAGGGGCAGCACACTTTTCCCAAACTCCCCTCCCCCCCCGCACCACACTTTGGCCCCCGGGCGCCGGCGGGCCATTTTGAAGGCTCCAGGGAGCTCCCTGGACCTAGAGGGCCGTGCTCGGCAGCCGCAGAAAACGGCCAGAGGCCGCCAAGACGGCCCATGAGCTCATCAAGCCGCCCAGGCAGGGTTCGCATGGCGGCCTCGGGCCATTTCGGCACACCCCTCACGAGGATCGTGGCCCCATAGGGAGCTCCACCGACTGCCCCCAGTGGCAGGGTTCGCATGGCGGCCTCGGGCCATGTCGGCACACCCCTCACGAGGATCGTGGCCCCATAGGGAGCTCACCGAAGGCCCAGTGGCAGGGTTCGCATGGCGGCCTCGGGCCATTTCGGCACACCCCTCACGAGGACCGTGGCCCCACTGGAGCTCCACCGAAGGCGCCAGTGGCAGGGTTCGCATGGCGGCCCCGGGCCATTTCGGCACACCCCTCACGAGGATCGTGGCCCCATAGTTGTGCTGCTTCAACAACCGCGCCTGGGCGTCGTACTCCGCCTTGTCGACGTGCAACGCCACCTCCTCCCTCATGGCTCTCAAGGCCCTTTCCTGCTTCTGCTCCTCGGTGAGAGGGACGCCGTCCTTGTCGTCGTCGGCGCCCGCGAAGACGGCCACGAACGTGTCCCTGAGCATGTCGGGCTCCGGCGGGAAGCCGTGGCCACATAGGGAGCGCGGGCGAATATGGTATTCACAATTGCGGTATTAACAACTGCATATGGTTGGGTCCTTCGCCAGGATAATTTTCCAAGGGTTTGTCGCGTTCTCGCGTCTCCGGGCTTCCGGCACTCCAAGACCGCCCAAGAAACCTCCAACGTCGCTTCAAGAGGCTCCCAAGAGGTCCCCAAGACGGCCCAAGAGGGCTCCCCAAACGGCCCAAGAGGCGACCAAGACTGACCAAGAGAGCCTCACGACAGCCCCAACAGGAGCCTAAGAAGGGGAACGCGAACCGACAATTCGAAGCGTCTTGGAGCGTCGGGGCGAAGAAAAACACGAACGCTGCAATCTTACCCCAACCGTTGGGGGATCAATGATTTTGACATATCGGGGCCATCTTTTGAGACCTCTTGAGTCGTCTTGGCGGTTTTGGGCCGTCTAGAGCCACTCCTTGACTGTTTTCGGCGCTTGACGGGGGGGGGTCCGCGAAGGCATCGGAGTCGTCTAACGCGTTGCAGGCTTCCCAGGAGGTCACGCGAAACCTACCGGAAACGCCCGGGAGCGTCAGGAAGCGCCCAGAAGCGCCGAACGCGCTTTTGAACTTTGCAGTCCGAGTCTTGAAACAGTTGTGAGCCGTGGAGCGGTCGACGTCGTTCCAGAGACACCGTGGCGGATTTGATTACTGCAGGCTCCTATCGGATCCATCTGAGCTTCTCATGGGATCCCGGGGCTCATCGGCATCCGATTCGGCCAGTTGCGGCCGGGATGTGCCCAGTCAGAATGAAAAGACAGCCCATCTTCATAACACCTCCATGTCCTAACAGGTTCGCATATTAACACTTATCAGCAAGATGCAGTCCCGTGGCCTTCGTATGGGGTGGTGTACGTAACGATATCGCCACGATATCGTTTTGTCCTACGATCAACTGAACAATGCAATTCGCGCGGTGACGGGATGAATCATTTTGGGTTCTGGGTTTTTTTCTTCATTCCAGTTGTGGTCCTATTGTGGTCCTATCGGTGTGTTTTTCGGATTCCGCCGAGTTTTTCTCTTGGGCCGGATGGGAAGGAAATTGATTGGGAATGTGCGAGTTTTTATTTTGCGCATCCAATTGGAAATTCTTGGAGTCATTTCGGAAGCTGTGCGGAAAAGCTTTGAAGTACCATAGTACATTGTTTTTGGCATGTTGAGTTTATATTTCGAATGCAATTTGTGCAGGCAATACAAAGCACCCTGCAGCAGACATTTGAGAGTGTAGCATCATCTCCGCGAAGCGTGAACTCACTTGTCGACAGCGAGGGAAAAGGAAAACCCAATACATTCGGCAGCGACATGAAGAAATGGCCGAACTTCAGTTTTCAATTATAGAATTTTGTATCTTCTGTTTTTCGTAATGCCCGCGCTTTGATGGATTGGGCAGAGGAGCAGCACAACGCGATCCCAAGCGCACAGGTCGAGAATATGTGTCCTCAGTTTCCTGATGCCGTTGATTTTTGAACCCAGTTGTACGCAATTCTAGCGCGGATGACGGACGGTGAAGCGCGCGACATGATCAAAAACACTTAGGTGGACCACTGTTTGGAAGCTTGGCGGAAGCTGTGTCGGCGTTTTGACCCGCACACCGGCCAATGCAAGCGTGCCCTCATGAGTTCGATCTTGCAGCTTGGTCAGTTTAAGATGCAGGATTTGTCTTCTAGCATCGAGCAATGAGAAGAGAAATCCGCACATACGAAAACAGGACACAAAAGAAATTAGATGATGACATCAAAGCCGGAATCTTAGTCACAGTGTGCCCCGAGGATCTTCAAACGCATCTGAACCTAAACCAGTCGAAGTTTGATGACCATCTTGATGTGCGTGAAGAAATCATGCCGTATTTGGAAACGAAGCACGTCAATGCAGACACCCGAGGCATTCCAATGTATCTCGGCTATG